TTACAGATTTAATATTAATATAGAGGTAACAGTTTCTAGAGGGGAAAAAGGTAGAGTTGGGAAATTACTTAAAATGGCTTAAGGATTAAATGGGACTGCAAGATGACATTCCCCTTTTGAAAAGGCTTTTTTATATGGTAAAGATGAACAATGTTTTTTTATTCATCTCCTCCCAAGGGTGTGTTTTGGAAGGATGAGTTCCCACCTGATGCCACTTTGCTGCAATCAAGAGGCAGTGTTTAGAGGAGTGGATTTCCTAGGACTGACGCCAGTTGGTTAACTTCTGCACTTTGGTAACTGACCTGCTAACTCCTCAAACATTGATATTCTTTGTGAAAAAGTACCTTCCTTGTTCTCCTCTAGTTTAAGTCTTGCTGGCTCCAAGTCCGTCTCCCTCGCTGCCTCCTGCACCCATCTTTAAGTGCTCACCTGCCTATCCACCCATCAACACTCCCTTTGGGTCAGTCAAGGAGAAAGTGTGAATCTTTATCTGTGCGCAGCAGCCCAACCGTATTCCCACTCTGCCTGGATGCCTTTAATTCCGCCCCAGACAAGTCCCAGTGTATGAGAACCAACAATCCAGTCTGAGTCTCTCTGGTGTGCCTTTTCTAGGGCGATCAATCTCTCTGTGATTTTAACGAAATAAATCTTTGAAAAGACTCACCTCTGTCTGACTGTGTTTGTGCCTGCTCTAGAGTCAAATGTAGCAACATGTCAGACAGGTGCATTTTAAAATCAGGGGAAAGGCAAAAAATTACTTAAAATTGCTCAAGGATTAAATGGGATGTCAAGACAACATTACCCTCTTGAGAAGGCTTCTTCTTTATATGGTAAAAATGAACAATTTTTCCTTCATTTGAAAAATCTGAAATTTCTCTTCCTTCCACCAAAACTAATTGTTTTTTCCCCCCTGTCTTTTTACATGTGTTACATGGAAGAGAGTGTAACCTAAATCTACTTGATAGATTTAAATACAGGATGATAAAAAACAACATCTTAACTGTCAAACTTAGAACTAAATTAGCAGTCGAATAAAGTTATATATAGCTGATAATGCAATGATCTCAGAACATTGGACCCAATATTCAAGGTGAGACAGACAGTGGGAAAGTTCATAGTGTTTATTTAATGTACAGAACGCAGAGCTGCTCGTCAGCTACAGTTGGCTCACTGGATTCTCTCGCAGAGATAGAAACTCAGGTTAGTGAATGTGAATCTAAGACCGGCCAAGACTATGAGCATAAGTCACTAACATTAGTCGCTTTTTTGAAATTAGAGTCGCTGGAGGGGTCTGAAAAGTCGCTAAATATAGCAACAAAGTTGCTGAGTTGGCAACACTATTTACAGCTGACATATTTTCACCTTTTGTGACTCTGGTACCAAAGGAAAATCAGCCAGCTTTAGCAATAACACATCTAGTTAGCTTTAAAGCTGGAAACCCACCAAACTTTCCTGGAAATTCCTTGAAAAACAGATCAGCAGTTCTGCAACAGGAACCAATGAAGGACATCTCTCTTTCAAATATCATCAAGATCAATACAGTTACCCTCCAAAGGGGCCCATAAACCCATAAAAATGGCACAAGTTTTCGGGAATGCAGCGGCAAATGGTATTGATCATCTCTGTAACACCAAGAAAACAAAACTGTTTCACTAATAAAACTGTCAGACGTTACAGAAAACATAATCCTGCTAACCCCTGGGGAAAGACTGAATGTATGTAAAGTGCTTTGGGAGGCGGGGTACACTATGTATAGGTCGGCAGTCAATAGCAGGACAGGCCAAGTCTCTTGACTTGAAAAAGTTCTCAATATAAGTACAGACCATTTACCAAGGACCCTAGTTGATCAAGTTTAAAGTTATTATACTACAGCATGCAGAGATGCTTATAACCCTGTAACAGGTTAAGACCGACTGAAATAAAACAAAATATCCATATTTCTGGTCAGTGAGCTAAAGAACAAGTGTCTGCAGGATAAGAACACCATGCATGGCCATGCAGATTTTATCCAAATTAGCTACAACTGGGGTTTGAATCCAGGAACAGTTTTTGCAAGGCAAAAGTTCTAACAAAGGGACTGCTGTGTACAAAGAACTGTTGCCTCTAAAGTTGTGAAACTGCTAGGATGATTCAGAGTTTTACAGAAACATCAGGTGAAAGGAGCTGAGGCAAGAAATATAAAATAGACTATTCAAAAACAAGACATCATCAGTTAACAGCTGTGTACCCAGTTAAGCAAAAGTATGGACAACAAAATGACTGCTTCTGGTAAGTGTATGTATTACTTTAATTATGTGGTCAAACAAAATTAAAGAGATCATTTTTAATAAGAGAATAATTTCATGTCAGTAAAACTTGTGAAATATTGATCTATTGAGTAAAGTTGTGGATGGAAATTGCTAATCAATGTCATTGTGAAGCATTCAACCATGTAATCCAGTTAAAGCAGATAGATGGTAATTCACTCTGTTGGCAATTTATTATCTTTCTTCTATCCAAAACACTAATTAATAGGATAAACAATGAATCATTTCCATGTAGCCTTGGAGTTGTGTCATCTGAGTGAATACTTTTAAAGATAAAATAAAATATTATGAAGGGATTCTATAGTAAACAGATCTCCTTCCCATCACAGTTCCACCCATTTGATTATAAAAAATATATTGTTTTATGTAAGTGATAATAAAAAAAGGAAAAATCAAGTAATAGAATACAAGGGGAAAAATAAACCATAATTATGTGAGGATAACATAATTGATGCAATTGAAATTTTACTTAGAACTGATCCAAATTAATTTGACTCCAAAAGATTTATCATGGTATTTACTCATTACTACTGAGATCAGTTTCAGGAGAGGTTCAGATAAGAAACCAGGAGTCAGGTGTGTCTGTACTGGAGAGAAAACTATCTATGGCATTCATTTCTTTTCAAGGAAAAGATTTAAAAAGGCTAAAATTGTTGGGATCCAGAGGTCTGCCCTCCAGAGGGCGATGTGGATCCCTTTCTGTGGGCTTCTGTTGTCTGTTGGGATCCAGAGGTCTGCCCTCCAGAGGGCGATGTGGATCCCTTTCTGAGGGGTTCTGCTGTCGGTTGGGATCCAGAGGCTTGCCCACCAGAGGGCACCGTGGATCTTCTCCTGAGAGTTGGTGCTCATTAGAAGCAGCTGATCCCCATCTGCTGATTAAGATCTCTCACTATATAAGCTGAGTGAAAGCTCCCCTCTGAGCCGGATTGTTGTCCTTGCTATGGAAGCAAACCTGAGCCGCTCTGCCTGTTAACCCTGCCTGTCTGAACCTGCAAACCTGTGAGTTTGTTCCTGTTAATCTGTTAACCTGAACCTGACCTGCTCTGTCTTCTCTGCCTCCCAGGAGGGAGACTTGTGTTGCCAATAAATATTGGACTTTAATCCTGCCTCTGTGTCCTTGAGTTCTGCATTTGGACTAGCAAACCTCCCACATCATGACAGAACAATCCGGCCAACAGACTAGCCCAGCAGACTCCTTCTACGCGCTCCTGGGGAGGCCCGCTCTTAAACCTCCGCAACCACCCTGGCAGGTGGCTTTGAGTCGACATTATGATGAGTTGGTGGCCTCCTTAGCCCCTGAGCCCGCTCAGAGTCGTCCGCCACCACCCTGGCAGGTGGAGTGGTGCCGGCGTAATGAGGAGTGTAATCGAAAATCGGAGATGGAGCGTCGTCGACGAAATGAGGAGTTGGATCGCCAATGGCAGGAAACTCTTAGCCGTCTAAGGACCCCTTGGCCCGGTTGGAACCGTCGGGAGACTCCTGAGCCTGCTCCTGATGTGAAGCCACAATCGGTGGCCTCCTCTGCTCCTGATTCGGAACCGCAATCGGCAGCTTCCGGTGCTCCTGATTCTGAGCCAGAGTCGGTGGCTTCTGGTGTTCCTTATGCAGAGCCGCAATCGACGGCCTCCTCAGTTCCTGATTCAGAGCCACAGTGGGTGACCCTGTCTGAGCCTGTTGCTGAGCTGCAGAAGCGGAGGCGGCGTCCTCCTCGGAGCTTCCTGCAGCAGCAGAGGCAGCGTCCTCCTCGGAGCTTCCTGCAGCAGCAGAGACGACGTCCTCCTCCAAGGCCCCTGCAGCTTCTGAGACTCCGGTCCTGCGGTTGGCCTCCGGAGCGTCTGTTTCAGCTCCGTTTCCACGGCCGGCCACCTGAAACTCTGCCCTGCTGCCGGCCCCACGGCCGGTCATCTGAGACTCTGGGGGTACTGTTGGGATCCAGTGGTCTGCCCTCCAGAGGGCGATGTGGATCCCTTTCTGTGGGCTTCTGTTGTCTGTTGGGATCCAGTGGTCTGCCCTCCAGAGGGCGATGTGGATCCCTTTCTGAGGGGTTCTGCTGTGGGTTGGGATCCAGAGACTTGCCCACCAGAGGGCGCCGTGGATCTTCTCCTGAGAGTTGGTGCTCATTAGAAGCAGCTGATCCCCATCTGCTCCCCTCTGAGCCAGATTGTTGTCCTTGCTATGGAAGCAAACCTGAGCCACTCTGCCTGTTAACCCTGCCTGTCTGAACCTGCAAACCTGTGAGTTTGTTCCTGTTAATCTGTAAACCTGAACCTGACCTGCTCTGTCTTCTCTGCCTCCCAGGAGGGAGACCTGTGTTGCCAATAAATATTGGACTTTAATCCTGCCTCTGGAATTATATCCCAGAATTTGACAAATTACACTTCAGCTGGCAAAGCCCCATTTCAATTACTGTCTTACTTTTCCTGATGACATTTTTCATGACAATTTCAATTGCTGATAAAGAAAAAGGAAAATTATTATTATTTTGAGCTCTAATCAAAACCAATTACCTAACATTTTTGTTTTAGCTGGAAAGAGAAAATATCAACAACATTCACAACAATGGAAAAATAGACTATCATGAAAAAATTATACTACAGCATGCAGAGATGCTTATAACCCTGTAACAGGTTAAGACCGACTGTAATAAAACAAAATATCCATATTTCTGGTCAGTGAGCTAAAGAACAAGTGTCTGCAGGATAAGAACACCATGCATGGCCATGCAGATTTTATGCAAAATAGCTCCAACTGGGATTTGAATCCAGGAACAGATTTTGCAAGGCAAAAGTTCTAACAAAGGGTCTGCTGTGTACAAGGAAACATTGCCTCTAAAGTTGTGAAACTGCTAGGATGATTCAGTGCATTACAGAAACCTCAGGTGAAAGGAGCTGAGGCAAGAAAAATAAAATAGACTATTCAAAAGTAAGACATCATAAGTTTACAGCTGTGTACCCAGTAAAGCAAAAGTATGAACAACAAAATGACTGCTTCTGGTAAGTGTATGTATTACTTTAATTATGTGGTCAAACAAAATTAAAGAGATCATTTTTAGTAAGAGAATAATTTCATGTCAGTAAAACTTGTGAAATATTGATCTATTGAGTAAAGTTGTGGATGGAAATTGCTAATCAATGTCATAGTGAAGCATTCAACCATGTAATCCAGTTAAAGCAGTAGGGGTGTAAATAATGATTGTTTTGTATCGATGCATCGATCCAACAGCCGACGATCCGATACATCGACACGTCCGCAAGACAATCGATTCATGTTTTTTTTTTCCTTCGGTCTATTTTTATCCATTTGCTCCTGGGCGTAATTCTCCCTCCCGTGCTGCGGTGCCGCTAAACCTATTTTGCCCTCCTACCTCGCTTCCTGGTTATACTCTTACAGCAGTTTGTTGCAGTGAGCTTAACACAGACATTTTTAAATTATGCTCAATATTGAAGCGTGGTCTGTGCTACACGCTGTGGGTCTAGATACGGCCGAGGCGGCGAGGAAGTGGGGGTGAGTTTAGTCCGACGACGGAGGGACATGAGGGCCAAAAAGAGCGGAGATCCAGGTGGAAAAAGGGTCCCAGCGTTCTCGCGCACCTCGCTCTTCTAGCGGGTCAAACTCCACAAGTTGTTTTCCGCAATTTCGGTCATAAAAACAAAACAAGCCGGCCTCCTGTCTGCGGTCAGCTACAATTTGGGAGAGGAGCAGTGGAGCTACTGTGGAGGGTGCGGGGACGTCTGGAGCCCAGGTATTGCATTGCACTCATTGCACTGATTTTCTGCAGTATTTTTTAATGCAACTTTTCTACTTCTGTTATTTGCTGTTGTTTGTAAAAAAAAAAATGCATAACGATATTACAGCTTTCATGGATTTATTTCAAACTTGAAACTTTGTTTAGCCTGTAAGGTGAAAAAAAAAAATAATAATAAAAAAAAACTTAACCGATTAATCTATTAATCAAACCGAATTGAATCGAATCGTGGTGTATTCTTGAGTATCGAAAATAATCGAATCGTTGGGTCAGGAAATCGATACTGAATCGAATCGCCATGATGGGTGTGATTTACACCCCTATAATGCAGACAGATGTTAATTCACTCTGTCAGCAATTTCTTATCTTTCTTTGCAGTGAGAGAACAAGACAAATAATAGTAACCCTTCGAATTTATTGTTTTTGCCCTGTTCTTATTAAAAAAAATTTCCTCTCATTAACTCAAACCCTTTTGAAATGCTGTGAAGGTGTCCACATATAAAATATTGTATGTATTTATGTTGTAATAAAAAAAAAATACAGTTAAGGAAAACAATAAAATGTGATGAATAAACTCCGAGAAAGAGTCTAGGTTTTAATTATCTCCCATTCTTCCATGATGATAATTCTCTTGATAAGGGATGTAATTGTTGAAAATGGAAATATAACATTATTATTTTTATCTTTAACCATTATAATCAAGTAACTTTTTGTTTGTCCTTGAAAGAGAAAATGTCAACATCATGCACATCAATTGAAAAATACTCTTTCATGTGTATACTGCTGCTGCACAATGGAATATCCTGTAGTACAGACTACTGCAGTCTAAAAAATCCTTTTTTAGACTGCAACTTTTGACCACACACCTACCAGCAATTATACACAACTCTCTGATCTCTATGCTAAAAAAAAGTGACCAACACAGAATACAGTGATCCTGAAACTCTAGCTCTAGCACTAGTCTTACAGGGACAGTGTTAATAGATTTTAAAGTGCCATATTCCAAACTTAATTAAACTAACAATTTTGTTTTTGTTTTGTTTTTTATTTTAGTTGTATTTGGTATTAAATTAGCCCACTTGGCTATATATGTCACGTTTTGGTTGTGGTTTAGAGGACCCAAAATGCAGAGGCATAGAGGCTGAGGTGATTTCTTGTAGTTTTAATGAAGAAAGCAGTTAACAAAGGAAGGAATCCAACTGAAAATGTATCACAGACCAGAACCGTGGAGACATCGGGGGAAACACGCACAAGGAGCCAAGGAGAGACGAGGGCAGCAGATAACAGCGATGACAGGACCAGCAACAACAAGGAACCAACAAGCAGTGACTGCAGAGGGAGAGTACATGTAGCTGACTGAGACAATGGCAGGGCTAACGAGGTGACAAGGAGCAGGTGTGAGAGGAGACAACGAGGGAGCCAAGGGGAAAGGAACACACACAAGAAGGCAACAGAGGAAAACAACAGAAAAACCTGAGAACATAAATATAGAAACTACAACAAAATTGGAAAAAACCAATAAAACTAGGAGACATGGAGCAAAGTAAAGCACAACATAACCAAAACCATGACAATATATACAGTATTTGAATACATTTTACTTTGCCTACCCTCATTACTTAATTACTTCAGTACTGTGGTTCTGTTATTCTTTTTAACTGTTTGGTTTATGCAAGATAAACAAGAAGAGCAAAATTTGGTCAAAGCAGTGGACATAGCAGTAATTTACACAGAGTTTCACTGATAGAACGGAGGCTGTCTCGACTTGTGGTAAATGCTTAGATCAACACAGTCACTGGAAATGAAAGAGCTGCACCAATGCCTCAAAACATCAAACTGCCCGCAAGCACCTCTAGCTCAGCCACCTGGAACTGCCTTGGCGCTGAGCGGAAATCTTACCAGACATCTGATAGAATGGATCCCTCATGGAGATAATACATTGTGGCCAACAAAAAGCTTGAACATCCCCTCATCAACATCAGTACTAAAAAAGGACAACAAGCAGCTACAGCCCACAGTATTTAACCTTTTTATTTAACCATCAGAAGAGTTTGACTTTGAGAGTCTCAGGTTTGTACCTTGAGGGTTCTTGGTTAAAGCTTTGGGAGGAGAACTAATGGGTCCAGAGATTGTTTGTTCAGCAGAGTCTGTTAGCTGCTTCAGCGTCTTACTTCTAGAGAGAGGGCAGACCTTGGTCTTGAGTTTCCAGCTCTTGGTCCAGAGCTGCATGGAAATCCAGAGAGGAGTCTTCAGGTTTGGCTCAGAGGGCAGACTCGGCAGGTTAAGCTCTTCCAGAGCTTCACAGGAGAAAAACAGGTTTCCTGAAAGTAGAGACAAAAAGGGTTAAAATCCAGTCTGGATTCAAAATCAACAAAGTACTCAGAAGGATCTTGTCTTAGGTGCTAACCAACTGGATTCAACACTGTGGCATTGAGGCAAGGTCTGAAGACAGCTTATATAGTGTGGACCCTCTGATGAAGGAATGAGCCTCAGCTGTGCAGGAGGCTCGGCTCCGGAGGATCCACGGCGGACTCTGCTGGAGGAAGGTGGTACTACTCCAGCTCCCAACAGTACCCCCCCCTCAAGGGCGGATACCAGACGCTTCAGATAAGACCTAGGGAAACAAGGGAACAAAAAACAACCCACCAAGGGTGGGCGGAGGGGGCAACATACTAGGAAAGCAAGAAGCAGAGTCCACAACAAAAAAACCAACCCACCCAGGGTGGGCAGAGGGAAAGAAAAAAAAAAAAAAAAAAAAACTGAGTCCCAGAACAAAAAACAATCCACTAAAGGTGGACGACAACAAAGAAAGTCTCTGATATTTTACCGGGAGACCACCGGTAGCAGCTCAGAAATAGGTGCAGGGCGGGGCCGCCCACTGCGGCACCGGAGCTGATTCAGAGGGGACCGCCGACTGCAGCTCTGGCCGCAGCATGGAGAGAGCCGCACACGACGACTCCGGTGCAGCCTCCGACGAGGTGTCCTGGGGCGCCCACCGTGGGCTCCTGGATGCTCGGATCGGCCGTAGAGGGACTCCAGTAGGTTCGGCGGAGCGGGGACTGGTTGACTGACTGGAGGCATGGCAGGAGGAAGACCACGATTCAACGTGTCTATGAGTCCAATTAAAATGAGGGTCGTGTCGCGCCAACCACTCATATCCCAGAACCAAGGGAGAACAGGCTGATGGGAAAACAAGAAAGGTTAAGGTCTCTCGATGACTACCAGAAACTTGAAGCTGAAGAGGCTGAGTCTTGTGGGTAACTTGGTGTAGACTCCTTCCATCTATGGCTGAGACTTTAAGAGGCTTCCTCAGAGGGGTGGTCTCAATGTTTAGCTGTTGAACTAGATTAGAGTCAATAAGGTTTCTCTCACAACCAGAGTCTATGAAGGCTGACAGAGTGAGAGTCTGATCAGAACAGAACAGAGTAGCAGGTAAAAGTAGATGAGAAGATTTTCTATTTAGTTGATGCTTCACCAGACTCCTCATAATCTCAGACGAGCCCCAAATCCTTTTCTTCGCTGGACAGGAAGAAACAAAGTGCCCAGGTATTCCACAATAAAAGCAAAGTTTCTCCTTAAACCTTCTCTTCCTCTCATCGGGTGTGAGCCTAGTGTGACCAATCTGCATTGGCTCCCCCTCAGTTGATTCAAAAGCTGGAGGAACAAAATGAGTTCTAGACACGGGATCAGATTCAGGCTGGGCACGGCTCTCAGTTCTGAACGCCTCTTCAGGAGAAACAAAGGAAGAGGTGTCCCTTCTCTTAGCCGTAGAAACAGAAACTGGTAAAATATGACTCTTAATCTTTGACTTGGATCTGGTTCGAAGACGGTTGTCCAAACTAATTGTCAACCTGATGAGTTCCTCCAGAGTCTCAGGTACTTCGAGTGGGGTGAGTTCATCTTTAATATTTTCGTTTAAAGCCTTGAAAAAAGCACTCTTAAGTGCACACTCATTCCAGCCTGAGGTTGCAGCTTTAACCCGGAAGTCAATGGAAAAATCTGCTACAGAGGAATTTCCCTGTCTAAGAACCAACAGAGCACGAGAGTAAATTGTTTGGTCAGAATCATGGTTAAACACTTGGGAAAACTCGGAAACAAAATTGGAAAAATCACATCTGAGGCTATCTTCGGAGGCAAACTTTGCCTCCGCCCACTCTAGGGTACGTCCGGTTAGTTGGGACAGAATAAACGTTATTTTTTTTTGTTCAGTTGGGAAACTGCCAGGAGAGTTCTGAAAAATAAGTCGGCATTGAAACAAAAATCCCTTACATTTGTTAGGGATACCTGAAAATTTCTCTGGGAGAGACGGACGGAATTCCGGAAGTGACGTGACAGGCTCTGGTTCCGGAAACGGAAGTTGAACGGGCTCCGCTCTAGGAGTTGATTGTCTGGAAAACTCCTGCAAAAACACATCAAATCGTGTGTTAAACTCACGAACGAATTTGTCCACAAGCAGGTCGTGAACATCACGAATGGCGCTCTCAAATCTCCTAGCCAGTTCTTCGTGGCTCTCACGGAGGGAGGTTCCAAGGCTCTGAATCTGGGCTCGTTGATCACTCAGAATCCTCCAGAGTGGTTCCGCTGGGTTAGTCGGTTGGCCGCAGTGTTCTGTCATGATGGGTTCACAAGAGAGACCCAAGTATGCAGAACCCACGAGAAGGAGACTGGTTGAAAGGTTAACAAAGGTTTATTGTTTCACAAGAACATGGAAATAACACTGGTACTGGTTCAGGCCTGGGGGGCTGGTTCACTGGAGTCTGCGTGGGAGACAGTTCAGTTAGCGTAGCATCAGAAGAGTTTGACTTTGAGAGTCTCAGGTTTGTACCTTGAGGGTTCTTGGTTAAAGCTTTGGGAGGAGAACTGTTGGGTCCAGAGATTGTTTGTTCAGCAGAGTCTGTTAGCTGCTTCAGCGTCTTACTTCTAGAGAGAGGGCAGACCTTGGTCTTGAGTTTCCAGCTCTTGGTCCAGAGCTGCATGGAAATCCAGAGAGGAGTCTTCAGGTTTGGCTCAGAGGGCAGGCTCGGCAGGTTAAGCTCTTCCAGAGCTTCACAGGAGAAAAACAGGTTTCCTGAAAGTAGAGACAAAAAGGGTTAGAATCCAGTCTGGATTCAAAGTCAACAAAGTACTCAGAAGGATCTTGGCTTAGGTGCTAACCAACTGGATTCAACACTGCGGCATTGAGGCAAGGTCTGAAGACAGCTTATATAGTGTGGACCCTCTGATGAAGGAATGAGCCTCAGCTGTGCAGGAGGCTCGGCTCAGGAGGATCCACGGCGGACTCTGCTGGAGGAAGGTGGTACTACTCCAGCTCCCAACACTCTGACTCTGTTACCAAAAGAAAACAACCAGCTTGAGCCATACCACATCCAGTTCACCTTCCGAATGGAAACCCACCAAACTTTGCTGGAAATTTGTTGAAAAACAGATGTGCAGTTCTGCAGCAGGAGCTAATGAAGGTCACCTCTCTTTCAAACATAAACAGAGGTATGAGACAAAATCAATACAGCCACCCCAGAAACAAAAAAAAAGGCCAAAAGTTCTCATTGTCAGGATTCAGCGGTCAATGCTGATGCTCTGTAACACCAAGAAAACAAAACTGTGTCCAAATGACTCTGTGTCAGATGTTACAGAGAACATAGTCCCACTAACCAGTGAGGAAAGACTGAATGTAGTGTAAAGTACTTTGGTCAAGTCTCTTGACCAAAGGGCAATGTAAGTACCGGCCATTTACCATTTGCCATGGACCATCTAGTTGATCAAGTTGGAACAAATTATATTACAGTAGGCAGGGATGCTTACAACCATGTAACAGGTTTAGATTGGCTGGAAAAAAACTAAACAAAAGAAAGAATTAATATTTTTGTTAAGTGAGCCAAAGAACAAGTACCTGCAAGAAAAGAACAACATACAAGGCCATGCAGATTTTATTCTAAAAAGAAATTACTTGGATTTGAATCCAGTAACAATTTTTACAAGGCAAAAGTAAAAGTATGGACAACAGATTTACTGCTTTCCGTTAACCTCTTACACCCTCAGGGGGTATAAATACATTTCTGCCTGACAAAAACACACAAAAGTAAATCACTTATAGCCTCACAGCTATTAGATTTAAGAAGAAACTTTTGGTAGGTCTGTAAAGGTAAGATGTCATAGAATGGTTTTCTGGTGTCAGCACCATTGTAGCTTTGACCCGGCCTGAAATATTAGGGACAAAATACAAAATATTTTGCATTTTTTGAACCTCGCCAAAATTTTCTTTGAAATAAACATTGCAAAACACTACCAAAATATTATTTATAGCACAAAAAGTAGTACAGACTTTCAAATCTAAATGTTGTGTAAAAATATACCAAATTTGGACTCAATCAGATGAATCATATTTATTTTAGAATGGTATTAGTGAGAAATTTCTTAGGCGGAGAGGCCATTTTGGCACATTTATCCAAAAATGTCACCAAACTGTGCCAAATGTGTTTTTTACATCAATATTGGGGGTTTGTTAAAATTACGAGGTCACGTAGCAGCTGGGCCCACCAGTGGGTCCGTAGGGTACTAGGGGTTAACTTTAGGCAGGTAAGATCTTCCGTATCATTCTATCTTGTACCGGATCTGGAGAAGCCTATGAATGACGACACTATTGTTAAACATTTTGATGTCATCTCCTGAGTTTCCAGGGCAGTTCCTAGAACAGAGCCAACTTTTTTTTTCATTAGCTTTTTGAGCTGTTTTGCTCTGATGCTGTTACCCCAGAAAATGATGACAGAAGAGACAAAACTGTCCAAAAGACATGTATAGAAGATCTGCTGCAAATGCTGAAGGACCTAAACTTCCTCAGGAAGTTCAGCCTTTTTATAGACCGCTTCACAGCTGCTTCTCCACTTTAGTTTGTTGTCCAGGTGAACATCAAGGTATTTATACTCCTCATCTGGGTTCTCTCCTGGTACCCCAGCCTTATTCCACAGTCCAAAAACATGTCTGTTACTGGCTAACCCTCTCTAAATTAGGTGTGAGTTTGTGTTATGTTTCTTTGTGTGTCTCTGTGTTGCCCTGTGACAGACTGCTGACCTATCTATGGTATAGCCTCTTGCCCATAGACTCCCAGAGAAAGGCACCGGTCCTGCCGTGACTCTGATGGAATAAGCAAGAGAAGGTGGAAGGATGTTTTACTGTTGGATTAGGCTATAATCTATAATCAAAGCATCCATGTCGTTTGGTCAACCTGTGTTTGTTTGTGTGTTTGTGTGTGTGGTGTGTGTGTGTGTGTGTGTGTGTGTGTGTGTGTGTGTGTTTGTGTGTGTGTGTGTGTGTGTGTGTGTGTAAGTGATTCATTTTCACAAAACCTTTTTATGAACAAAAAGCAAATGGTGATCCTGGTAAAGGCCACAAGAAGACATGTTGGTGAGCTGATAGAGTTGTTTCTTCAAGCATTGCTGGAATCACGCCTTCAAAGAAAGTCACAAAAGTATAGGCAATGACATAAAGTTAAACAAAAGTTTTACATCCACAATAATGTTTAATTCAAAGGCAGCTGCCTTGGTGAAATGTTGAAGTTTTTAGATCAGGAAAAGTTTTCTTTTGGTTTACACTCTTTTTCAAATTCTCCAACAGCTTCCCAGGAACCAGAAATCAGGATGGTTCTTATCGGAAAAACTGGAACTGGAAAGAGTGCAACAGGAAACACCATATTAGGGGAAAACCTCTTTAAATCTAAACCCTCTATGTCATCAGTAACACTCACGTGTCAGAAGAAAGACTGTTGTTTTGTTGGTCAGAAGCTGGCTGTGATTGACACTCCAGGTCTGTTTGACACAAAAGTAACAAACAGAGAAACACTGAGAGAGATCGCAAAATGCATCAGCATGGCTGCTCCTGGACCTCATGTGTTCCTGGTTATTCTCCAGCTGAACCGATTTACAGAAGAGGAACAGATGGCAGTGACATTAATCCAGACATGGTTTGGAGAAGAAGCTTCCAAATACACCATGGTTTTATTCACTCATGGAGACCTGCTGAGTGAGATGAGAGGAAGAGAAGCAATGGGGAGTTTAATCAAGGAGAATAAAGCTCTCTCTGACCTTATGGAACAGTGCCAGGGACGACACCATGTTTTTGACAATAAAGACAGGCATCCACATCAAGTCAGAGAGCTGCTGGAGAAGATTAACCAGATGTTAACAGAAAATGGAGGAAGCTACTACACCAATGAAATGTTCAAAGAGGCAGAGAAAGCCAACAGAGAAGAAATGAAAAGACTTCTGAAAGAACATCCAGAAATGAGCCCTAAAGATGCAAGAGAAAAAGCAGAGAAAGACAATTCATTCATTCGGGATTTTCTTGCAGGAGTTGCTGCTGGAGCTGCTGCTGGAGCTGCTGGTGGATCCACTAATCAATTTTTTTGGGAGCACGTTATGGAGTGGGAGGTGTAGTGGGAAGTGTAGTGGGAGGTGCAGCTGGTCAGGCAATATCATGTATTATACTGTGATTGTATTGTCTTGTTTTTAATCATTAACCTGCAGCCCCTTAGGGGCTTTATTCAGATCATATTAAAACACATTTATTTCTCAGTTCTTTTGGTCATTAAGCCTGGGATGCACTATGATATATAGTTAAGCCTTGCTTGCAGCCCCAACTCAAATAATGCAAATAAATCACAGAATTAAAAATTTTACAGCTTGCAATGTTTGTCCTCACACTCTGCGAACTGATGCTCAGGTGCAATCTGAGAATACAAATGGTACTTCCTCAAAAAAAAACAGGTCGGGGTCTTGAACAATCAAAACATTGAACATAATAAATAGGAATAGCTAGTAAAAGAAGAAAAAACTTCTGTTTTTTTTTTGTTTCATGCATGCATAATGTGAAAATCTCAGAGGAAAGAGCTCTCAGTCCGATTTGAAGATTAAGAATCAGATTAATCTAATTTGTTGATTCAGTTATTTCAAGACATAATTCACCAGAACCTTTGCGTGACTTTATAATACATCAAAAAAACAAATAATAAACAGGTAAATTAGTCAGTCTTCTTACCTTTATTGTGAATTATCTTTAAATGTTCTCAGATGGCCCCATGACATCTGAAGCTCTGCCCACTGCTGATGTAATTTTGTTATTTTCAGAATCAAAGCAAGAAGGGGACCTCAGAGTGGTGCTGGTGGGTCAGGAGAAAGTTGGGAAGAGCTCAGCAGGAAACACCATCCTGGGAAAAAGGGCATTTGACTGTCATGTCAGCTCCATCCCTGTGACTCTGAGCAACCAAAGGATGGAAGGAGAAGTTCTGGGCCGTACAGTCTCTGTGGTGGACACCGCAGGGCTCTGCAGCTCCCGTCTTTCTGCAGAGAAGATCAAAGAAGAGCTGGAGGAAGCTATCAAGCAGAGCTCTCCTGGTCCTCATGTTTTCCTCCTTGCTCTCCAGTTAGGAAGGTTCAGCAAACAGGAGCAGGAAGGGCCAAAGATCCTGCAGAAGATTCTGGGTCCTGAGGTCCTCAAACACACCATGATCCTGTTCACCTACGGAGATCGACTGAAAGACACTGATATAAACTTGGATCAGTTAGTTAGAGAGGATCAGAACCTGCAGAAGCTGCTGAAAAGCTGCAGTGGGATTTACCACGTTTTTAACAACAATGAGATGGAAAACAGGAAGCAGGTCCAGGATCTGCTGGATAAAATAGATCAGGTCTCAAGTGGAGGTAGAAAATATTATGAGAAAGGTTCTCAGTCTGATGGACGGTTGTTTGGAAATATTTGCTCATTTCTCCATAAATCCACCTGCAGCATTTTTTTTTCTGTCACAAGGTTTTTTGGTAAAATGTGCAGATATCTTCAAATAATACCTCACTATAAACATCTTTTGTTTTTCACTATTTCATTGGGAATTCTTTACAAGTTAGGATACGCAGATCTGATCCTCATGAATCACTTTATAGGTGATAGTGGAAACAAACTGGTTTGTTGGATAACAATGAAACAACCAATAATGCTACATGGTAACCTCATCAATTTTACAAGATATGAATACTTATTTGTTACTGTACCTTGCTCTGTTACTTTCTCCCTTTTTGTCAAAAAACATTTTATTTTCATGCCGTTCTTCTTTTCTAATAATCAGAGACGTTCATCAGCGTGAAAGCTTGCCTGCAGTAGTTAAGAAAGATATTTCAAGTTATTAAATGTTTATGAAGACTGAAGTAAACACTTTTTTAAGTTTACCCTCTAAAGTTATAGAGATTACTAAGGCATTTAGTTAATCTTTATTTGCTTTAGGCTTGCTGAAATCTACATGACTGCATGTGTAACATGCTAATAAGGGAATGTCTGATATGGGACTGATGCACCTTTTCTGTGTATTTTGAGTTTTTCTATTTCTTTCACAAGACTGATGATATGAGGGAATTTTATTTTTGTTTATTTTCGTCAGTTCTAACAATCATATTGGTTCAATTACGACTTCATATGCATGTTGAAAAGCTTGTTTCCAATTAAAATATTATAAAAATAAACAATTTAAGTATCTTATTGAATCTGAGTGAATAATATAATCCAATAGGATAAAATCTAAAGTTGTGTCATTTTAATCTGAATTAGATTTCACTAAATGAAAAACTAAGAGAATTAGATTTTCCTTTCCTCCAAAAAAATACACATGTATATCATTAAAACATATGAACAATGAAATCAGCAATTTTCCTCCCTTAAGTGTTTAAAATAAATAAACCTTACAGTTTTACCAAATATATGGAATATAGTTTGAAAAATGCAACTAAAATATATAAAAGCAATGTCTGGTCTACAAATACCAGCCTGGAGAGAAATGTGTGGCCTTGAGAGAGAAACAGACTGAGTGAAAACTTTTATAGTGAGTAAATAGGATAAATTAATATATAACAGAAGAAAGATAACATTTTTCCGACAACAGTCCACCCTTTCGATTATAAAAGGATATTATCCTTGTGTAATCGATATCATAAAACAAGGAAAATTTATGAATATAAGAAAACTAAGAAACTAAAATTGTGAATAAATGTAAAGAAAGCTAAAAACTACAAAACTAAAATAAAAAAAAATTAATAATAATGATAATTAAAAAAATAATAAATCAAAAATCCACAACTGCATTAAGTCGGTGGACAATGTTAAATGATTATAATAGATGGAAAAATTATGGAAAGGATTATGATAGCTAAAATATGTTGACAATAAATAGAGCCCTGGAATCACACCTTAGTTGGCAAAAATATTTACTGTTTTTCCCCATTATGATACTTTATGGTAAAATATCTATTTGCTGAAAATGTAAAATTTTAGTTCTCATCATTATCAGTTATCCTTTTTTTTCTCCCTGGAAAGAGAAAAGTTCAAATCAGTCAAAACAATAGACCCCTTCATCTCTACAAAGTGTAAGTCAAATTATTAATCCGAGCTTCATTAAAAATAAAAAAAGGATCAATCTCTATGCAAAATGTTAAAATCATAACACAAAGTTGTTTCACACAGATTCAGTTCAGCTCTTCAGAATCAGGCTCAGTCAAAGCACACATTGAAAAGTTGGAGGATTTAATCTCAGCCCTCCTCTTTCCCAATGGTAGCTGATATGACCCGATTATCAGAGTTCATTCTCTAATCCAGAAATCTCTGCCAATACTGACCATCAGCCATCAGGTGCTCATCTAACATTTGGACTTTCTTTTATTATCAAGAAAAGTAATATCAAACACTTAGACACTAAAAAGGTTAATCTTTGATTAAAATACAACCCATCACAACAGATTTCCCTTCTCATTCATGTTGTATGATTAAAAATCAAAAAGCCAAAACTGATGTCAGACATCTTCAGGTGGGCGTCTTCATCTTTCTGTTGATGTTGGTCCCTTATACAGGCGACATTTTGAACGTTGTCTACAGAACAGCTGGTCCTCAACACATCAGGTGGACTACTGATGTGTTAATTAACCAATCAGAGGGGATTATTCTGCCCCTTTATTCTGATTTCTTTTGTTGAAGCTTTTCCTGGTTCCTTCCAGATGAGCTCTGATCACTTTCTTTTGATGACTTTGAGCCACACCTTCTCCTGCTGAAGGATGGAAGGATGGCTGAGAAGGTCCTCCATCAGGATCTCCAGGCACCTTGGTCCGTCTGTAAAGCCGTCTCTGACTAAGGGGAAAAAGGTCTTGTAGATCATTTTATGTGTCACCTGTCAGTCCCAGTCTGGCCAGCGGTCAGTGGTCTGGCCCGTTCAACATACAATAAGTAGAGTGGATCCACATCGACAGACAACATATAAGACAAACAGATAAGACAAACAAAACACAAACAAATGGCCATAACATAAATGATTAAACGTAATTGTTGCATGCAAACCTTCATGTGTGTCAGGCCCTTTTCTCTCACGGGGGGGGGCCTTAGCCTGCCCATCTTTACTGAACCTCCTGTAACTGGGTCAACGGTAAAATGGACACTTTTCTGTCTATTTATACGCAGGTACTTTAACTCTAAACAGCGAATCAGTTACTATTCTGCTGTAAGCCAACCATTTATAACTTTATGTCAGGTGCTATTTCAGTTCTAATTCTGAAAGTTAGGATGTTTTTTTGTTTTTTATCATCCTTGATTTAAATCCATTAAGCAGGTTTTAGGTCTCATTCTCTTTTAAACATACTTGTTTTAAATGTGCAAAATTCTTATTAATATTATTTCACTCTCTCAGGAAAATATGCCACTTTGATTCAAATCTTTCAGGATTTAATTATTTATTTTTTGCAAATATATAATTTTAGTTAATAAACTCATAGCCTTTATGCATTTTAGTTAGTTTTTCCCAAACTACATCCAATATATTTGGTTAACTGTAAGGTTTCTTTATCTTAAACACTTAAGGGATGGAAATTGTTGATTTCATTGTTCATATGTTTTAATGATATACATGTATATTCATATATTTTTGGAGGAAAGGAAAATCTAATTCTCTTAGTTTTTCATTTAGTGAAATCTAATTCAGATTAAAATGACAAATAACTTTAGATTTTATCCTATTGGATTATATTATTCATTCTTTTTCCTCTATAAGTTGCTGTTTTGTTTACATTTTCATAAATCAGAGCAACATTCACCAACATTCTCCATCTTAGTCAGAACCTCAGACATTCATGGCACAGGGATAAAGCAACATACCACAAAATCATGAAGAGATGAAGCTAATCTCTCCGAGTGGCTGCTGTGGAAATAGAGAATTTGGTTTGTGACTAAAACCTGTGCGCATTTCACAACTACTGTGTCAGACCATGTTTGGACCCTTTTCTCTCTCTGGATTTGCCTAAGTTTTCATCTCCAGGTCCGTCCATAACATTATGGAACATGGTGACAGCAGGAAATGAACAAAACCAGACCCGTCCTGTTTTTAAACAACCACAGGCCTGATAATAAACGTTTTGTTTTCCAGTCCTGAAGCCGACATAGGAAAAGACAGTTGCTGCTGAATTTTTCTCTTTTAAAAGATAATTTTTGGTTTAGATACTTAAGGATGATTCTAATTTGATCAGAAATGATTATACTGACTCTAAAACAATCCTGGTTCAGTGAAAGCCAACCAAGCCGTACATTATCACCTTCATTAGACATCTTCCCACAGATAAAGTCATGTCAAGAAAGTCACTCTGTCAGCAAGCATTTTCTTAATTGCAAGATGCAGAAAGGAATCTAATAAGAGAAAGTTATCAAACTTTTCTTGAATAGTTGGAAGTCTATGGAAATGGAATATAAAATGAAATTAAAAAAAGAAAAGAAAAGAAAATATATAATGGATCACAATACCCTTTTACTGATTTCTGCCAACAGGCGGTTTCAGTCCTGGAGCTCCACCACCTCAGTCCAAAAGGTCAGCCACTTCTCAAACAAAACAAATAATTCAATAATAGAAAAATTTATTTAGCACCGGAGAGAAGGAAAGCCTTATGTTGGTGCACCTCCTCCTTGTTTCCCCACAAAAAAAATGTCCCCAGTGTCTCTGTCCTCATGGTTTTTGCACACACACACATTGTGAAGCAGGTTGCAGCTCAGGTGAGCTATTAGGGTCAGGGGTTCAGAGCAGATGAAAATCCTTTTGTGTTGCTTTCCCCAGATTTTAACCCATCATTTCCATCCGGTTGCTGTGTCGGTGTGTGTGCCTTGGGGGGGTGGGGGGAGATTGATGCTTGAAGCAGGCTGCCTTTCTCTGGCGGGCTGATGGGAGGGGTGCATCTCCCCCAGGTCTGAATTCCACAAGGAGCGGCTCCGATCAGGGAGTCCATGTTTAAAGGGCAGGGAGTAAAAAAACAAAAAAACAATGATTATTTAAAGAAGAGTTTCAATATTTCAAATGAATAATAATAAAAAAAATAATATAAAGTTGTTCATCTTTACCATATAAAAGAAGAAGCCTTTTCAGGAAGGAATGTTGTCTCGTCAGTCCCCCACTTCATCCTTCAGTCACTTTAAGTCACATTTCCCCTCTCGTCACAAACTTTTCTCATCTAATTTTCTCATATTTGCTTTTATCATCAACCTTGCTTTTCTCTATTTAATTTTGTTTTTCTCTATTTAATTTTAGGTTAATTCCTCCATTTTACTAGTTTTTTCCGTTTTAAACTTTTAAATTGACCTTATTTTATGCCCCACTTACTTTTTTCTGTAATAATTTAAAAGTATTTTTATTTTTAGCTATGAGTTATTAACTTCCTGTACAAATTTAAAGTTTAGTTTTTTTAAAAGCACCATTGAAATTAAAATTCATTATTATAACTTAGTATAGTGTAAGTTTAATATGTAATACAGTGTAAATATGTTTAGTATAAGGTTTAAACACTGCCTTTTTTGACTTCTTATTTTAACCCATTTCTTTTTGAAGCTGAGAGTTTCTTTGAACTCTCCTTTTAACCATCCATCATTTTAAACTGTTTTTTCTTTTTTCTTTTTCCCTTTTTTTTTTTGTTTTTTTTTTTAAATCTGTAAATTTCTTACCTTACCTTCTTTTTAGCCTCTAACGTCTCATGATATTGGTTTATCTTATTTTTAACATTTTTGTTTATTGCAACATTAAAAGAACCTTATTTTCTTAGCAATTGTTCAAAAATGTCTCCTTGGGCAGTTGA